CAGTTGTGGGTGTTGACAGACCCTCGGAGCGTGAAATGAGCTTCGTCGGTTCACAACAAGTTACTCAACCAATCGTCATCTTCCGCCATCTTTTGAAACGCCCACACAGCAAATGCCCTCCGATTCACGGAATCGCCAGGTAACAATTCATGATGCCGATGGATTTTGTACGGATAACATCGGAGGGTACGCCTAAGTGCCCACCAAACAGTAGTGTATGGAATGCCGGTGCGACGTGTGACTGCACCGGCGCTGACTTCCCCGTGCATAGACGAACCCTCTACAGTCTCCATTTCATCCTTAACCGTCTCAGCAGCATTCCGCCGTGTGCTCGGTCGGCCACTACGGGGTCTATCGTCTAAACAACCCGTCGCTTCGAACTTCGAAATCATTCTCGCCACAGCTGCATTTGTCAACGGACCTTTACCCCTTCGTATGGCGATAGGAACGTAACGCTGCACTCTAGCACATTCCCCATTCTGATAATACAGCTTCACTAACAGTGCCTTTTCAGGTAACGTCAACATGCTGCGACTGCTGGTGCAACTGATTCTCTCTCTCATGACAGCCCCTTTTCTACGCGATTTTCATGCGCAGTCACTGACGTTTTGTTGTCCAGCGCCATCTGTCGGACATTTTGTGAAATTTATTTATTTATTTATTGTTCTAATAAAACCCTATATCATTCCAAGCATGTGTGTCAATTTTTACCTCTCTGTCTACATTATTCCGTGATTTATTAATTTTTCAAATTTATATACTGACTTTTTGATCACCCGGTATATAAAATTGTTTTAACAATAGTATTACAATAAAAAATTAGTTGATAAAAAATGAACATAGAATGACGCATTTTCAAAATATTCTCCTTTTGTGAAAAATGCTTCTATTATAATAATATTTTGCCTGTATATATCTCAGACCTCTCTACAAAAAACGCCGATAATTATTTTTATGGGTTGTAACTCTGAAAATAATGTGAATTTTTCAAACATCATACTTGAGCATTTGTACAGATGTCTGAGCTATATACAGGCAAAATATTATTATAATAGAAGCATTTTTCACAAAAAGAGAACATTTTTCACAAAGGTTACTCTAAGTTAATTTTTTGCAGAAATATTGTTAAAACAATTTTATACATGCATTCTAATCTAAGTGACACTAAATTTCATTAAAATTACCCATTTATGCGCTTTTTTTAAATCATGGTTCCGAACGTAGTTGGATACCTTAAGGTTGTTTCCAATATTAAAGAATTAGTTGTAAAATTGTTCATGAAGTATCAGATCTAAAATAAAAGTAACTATAATCGAACCTCCCTATTACGAATCTCTATATTTTGAATTTTTCTATTTAGTGAACTTTTTCCTAGAACCAAGAACATTTAACGATTTTCTTTGTAAAATAACCTCCCAATAGTGAAGTGCATTTTCTATATAACGAACTTTTTTTCTTGTGATTCAATTTTTTCATCCCTACTTTTAAGTATTTCTTGATATTTCGCGATATTCTCTTTTTTAACACGATTTATGGTGGTCATAAATCTTGAACTGGTTTTTATTAAGTGCCTAACTTGCCGAGAGCAATAGAATTCTGGACGTTTCATCCAAGAAATGCAACTCTTAACCCCCATGGTCCAGGTAACTGTGGAAACATCTTCGATATCCCCTTTCACCCTTAATGGTGTTGTCTTGTGTCCCTGGGTCCTTGAACTAGTCTCCGTTAATTTGTAGTGTTGATCAGTTATACTGGTAATTTCGTTTTTTGTGGCTCAAAAATGTCAAAATGTAAGTGCTTGAGCATCAGAGATGAAAATTTAATTCTTCAGGAAATGGATAAAGGCGTCGAGAGAAACTTTCCTTGCAGTTTTTTTTTTTTTTTTTATAGGTAAGATATATAAAATGAGTACATGTTAATTTACAAAATGGTGTGAATAATTACTTTTTTTAATATATAGTGCTTATGAGTTTTAAATTTGTTTTATGTGGCTTAAAAATAAAATTGAAAGACGAGCCTCTATATAACGAATTTTCCATATAAAGAACTTTTTCGGGATTTAGCGACTTCGTTACATACGATTCGACTGTACTTTTAAAATCATGTGTGCTTCTTCTCCAAACCATCTTACACCTGCAACCTCCTAGTTACGATCGTAGGTAATAGTAGAATACATATGATTATCGCAATAAACGAAAAAGAAATGAGAGACAGATATTGAAAAATTAAGTCCCGCGCGCGTAAAATCTGGCGTATAACAAGTTTACTTTTAACTCAAAAAGTAAGACTGACATTTACGAATGCGCTTTAAACGCCGGGTATAAAAATGAGAGCTGCAAAAATAGCGAAAAGGACAAGCATTAAAAAAAATTAGTCTTCTTACATAGATCGATATAATTTTTCTTAAATAAAAGAAAAGATACAGTCGGACCTCTATATAACGATAGTCGGACCTCTAAATCCCGGAAAAAAGTTCGCTATATAGAAAATTCGCTATATGGAGGTTCATCTTTTAATATACTTTATAAACAACATAAAACAAATTTTAAGTTCATAAACACTATATATTAAAAAGAGTAATTATTCACACATTTTTTAAAATTAATGTATTTTTATTTATCTTACCCATCAAAAAAAGAAAGAAAAACAGCAAGGAAAACAAGAAAAAGAATGTCGAAGAATTCACTGTATTTTCAAATTAAGAAAATAATTTTATACAAAAATTAATGAATTTTAAGGACATTTTATAATTTAAAGTATACAAGGAATATTAAACAAATATTATTTTATAATTAGAACACGGAGACACGAGACAACTCCACTGAGGGTGAAAAAGAATATCGAAGATGTTTCTAGTGAACTGGGCAATGGGGGTTAAAGATTGCACTTCTTGGGTGAAACTTCCAGAACTCTATTGCTCTCGGAGAGTTAGGATCTAATAAAACCAGTTCAAGACTCCTGACCAACATAAAATGTGTTAAAGAAAGAATAACTTGAAATTTTTTCAGAAATACTTTAAAGAAAGGAAGAACAAAAATTGATTCACAAAAGAAAAAGTTCGTTCTACAGAAAATGCACTTCGCTGTAGAGAGGTTATTTTACGAAGAAAATTGTGAAATGTTCAAGGATCCGAGAAAAAGTTCGTTGTATAGAAAAATTCGCAATATAGAGGTTCGTTATATGGAGGTTCGACTGTATATCTAGTGAACTTAAAGGTTGTAGTTCTAGAAATATACTATTTTTTCAAAACCCTGGAATAATACCTCGAATAAATGACTTCAAATCATAAGATTATTGCACTCTTTCATTTCAGGTTCCTTGGCAAAAATAGTCGGTGTGCGTTCTACAACGGATGAACCTCAAAATTAAACAATGCCGCTTGACAGTATAGGTGCACATTACACCCCGGTGTGAATTATACGCAGGATTTTATGATACATATATATTATAATAAGCAATACATAAAAAAGTCAATTCCTACTTAGGTCAACAAAGAAAAATTTTATTTTAGTTACTTTTTATTGAATAGTTACAATTAATATAAATATGTATATACGAAGGCTGTTCAGAAAGTATCGATACTGAATTTATTCTATTTACTCCAGAAAACCCGTAGCGGAGGGACTGTGCGCATCATGCGCGCGCATATTTCACCTTTTCTCACAAAAATCGGTAGGTCTGTACAGCGCGCCGTTCAGTCACAATGGCTTCTTTCACGTGAAGTGTTTGCGTGCGTTCGTCGAAAAAAGAAAATGTGTGAAAACACGGATCAGCGAATCTGTATCAAGTTTTCTTTTAAGCTCGGTAAAACGGGCACCGAAACCTACGAGATGATGTAAACAGCATTTGGAGATGAGGCGATGAGTCGTGGTCGGGTTTTCGAGTGGTTATGGCGATTCAAGGAGGGTTGTCAATCAGTGAACAGTGATCCCCGTTCTGAACGCCCGTCCACTTCTCGCAGTGAGGACAAGATTACACAAGTAAAGGATGTGGTGCGCTCTGATTGTCGTTTAACAGTCCGAGAAATTACACAGGAATGTCACATTTCCGTAGAATTACGTGATGAAATTTTGAGAAAGGACTTGAACATACACCTAGTGTCTGCAAAGTCACTGAGGATCAGCAATTTCAACGACTGGCAACATCATCTGATTTGTTTCAATGTGCAAGCGACGATCCGGAGTTCATGAAACTCATCATCACAGGGGATGAGTCGTGAGTTTACGGATACGATCCCGAAACAAAGCAGCAGTCGTCACAATGGAACTCGGCCAAAGGAAGCACGGCAGGTGCGATCAAAGATCAAAGTCACGTTGATTGTGTTTTTCGATGCAGATGGAATTTTTCATCTTGAGTACGCTCCCCAGGATCAGACAGTGAACAAGGAATTCTACTTGGACTTCATGAGGAGATTAAGAGAGGCTGTTCGCAGAAAACGACCGGTGTTGTGCGCGTCCTCTCGCTGGATGTTTCATCGTGACGGAGCCCCAGTGCACATCTTCCCTACCAAGTAGCACATCTTCCCTACTCGCCGGATATGTCACCTCCTGAATTTTTCCTCTTTCCTAAGATCAAGAACACCTTAAAAGGACACCAGTTTCAGGACATTGAAACCTTTAAAACAGAATTCGACACAGCAGCTTCATACCATCCCAAAGTCTGAGTTCCAGAAATGTTTCGAGGACTGAAAACATCGTTGGGCCAAGTGTGTTACTGCCAATGGAGCATGTTTCGAAGGATATTGACTCAAAACCTGTTTATGTATGTATGTTTTTGCATAATAAATTCGGTCTCGATACTTTCTGAACAACCTTCGTACATATGACAGAATCACAATATTAAGTGGCAAAATAGAAAGCGATTTTCTTTGCAATTTTCCATTTTCCTGTTTTATTAAGGTGTCGGACTATTTTTTTGTTACTATTTATTCATTCATTAAATTTAATTATTCTAATAAAGTAGTATAGTAAATAGAAATCACACATTCTCAGAAATTAGGCCATCCCAGGTGGGATTCGAACACACGACCTTTGGATTAGAAGTCCAACGGAAAAGAAAAAAAAGGAAAGAAAAAACGCTATTCCACTACAGGGACACAGCGAGCGATTTTCCTTTTTTAAATATGGAGTTAGACTATTATTTTTGCCTGTTACTATTCATTCATTTTTGAATTTAATTAATGAATTAATAATTGAAAAAAACTGTATGAACATCAAGACTCATCCACTAAAATTTTAAAAAAAAGTATTTAACTTGAATGGATGAATAAAAAGTATTTTATTGCTGATTAAAAATTTAAACAAGATGTAAATACAGTCGAACCTTCATATAACGAAACTCTACATCGCGAATTTTTCTATATAGCGAACTTTTTCCTGGAACCAAGAACATTTCACGATTTTCATCGTAAAATAATCTCCCTATAGCGAAGTGCAATTTCTATTTAGCGAACTTTTTTTCTTGGTATTCATCTCCTCCCTCCCCCCTTATTTTTGAAGTATTCCTGGACATTTCAAGTTATTCTCTTTTTTAACGCATTTTACGGTGGTCATAACGGACGTTTTAGTGCATTGCAAAAATGCGAGGCGTTTATATTATGAAATAAAACATTTTTTCAATAAAAAAAACCGAAACAAAATTAACAGATATAATGACTAATTAAATTTAAGAATGCATGAGGTAGAGTATGTTTAAAATCTATAGTTATAAAATAATGTGTTTAAACTTACTTGTATGCTTTAAATTAGAAAATGTCCTTAAAATTCATTAATTTTAATTTAAAATTATTGTCTTAATGTTGATAATACAGCGTATTCCTCGACATTCTTTTTCTTGTTTTCCTTGCACAGTTTCTCTTTCTTTTTTTTTTTTTTTTTTTTGATGGTAGGATGTATAAAATAAAGAGTGTTTTTTTCAGGTATAGAAGTTTAAGTTGGCATTACTTTCCAAGATGGCGACCGATTTAACAGCTGTCAAGTGATTTATTCTCAGTTTGGTTTGGCAATTCATCAAAATGATCATCAAGCAAGGCGTAGATTAGTCGAATGGACCCAAAACGAGATTGCCGTTGTTCCCGATTTTCATAAGCGAATTTTGTTTAGCGATGAAGCGCTCTTCTGGTTGAATGGCTACGTAAACAAACAAATCTGCCGCATTTGGAGTGAAGCTAATCCATAAGTGTATGTCGAAACACCGTTACATCCAGAAAAACTAACTGTTTGGTGCGCTTTATAGGCTGGTGGAATCATTGGTCCGTACTTCTTCAAAACCGATGAAGGCCACAACGTTACAGTCAATGGTGATCGGTATAGAGCCATAATTACTAACTTTTTCAATCCTGAATTGAACAATCATGATGTCCAGGAGCTGTGGTTTCAACAAGACTGCGCAACATGTCACACAGCTCGTGCAACAATCGATTTATTGAAAGACACGTTTGGTGACCACCTAATTTCACGTTTTGGACCTGTGAATTGGTCTCCAAGATCTTGTGATTTAACACCGCTAGACTATTTTCTGTTGGGCTATGTAAAGGCATTGGTCTATGCGGATAAGCCACAAACGCTTGACCATTTGGAAAACCACATTCGCCGTGTTATTGCCGATATACGGCCACAAATGTTGGAAAAAGTCATCGAAAATTGGACGTCCAGATTGGACTACATCCGAGCCAACTGTGGCAGTCCTATGTCAGAAATCATATTTAAAATGTAATGCCACAAGATTATCTTTCGAATAAAAAACAATTCATGTCAATCGAATAATACATCGTTGTTTTATTGCAATTTAAAGTTCTATACCTCCAAAAAAAACACCCTTTACAATAATATTAATTTAAAGAAAGGTTTAAATAATTACTTTTTAAATAAATATTGGGTTTATATGAATTTAAAATTTGTTTTATGTGGTTTATGGAGTACAATAAAAGATGAACCTCTATATAACGAATTTTCCATATAACGAACTTTTTTTCAGGATTTATCGACTTCGTTACAAAGAGGTCCAACTGTATATAAATATATATAGGGAGAGAGAGAACTAATAGCAGGAATTGAAAAAACAAGTCGTAAAATTTATACCTGAAATTTAATGATTTTTATTAAAATCTTATGTGACCACTCTGGTAGATTTATTGTTAAAATATGACACACATTAGAATGACTATATTGAGGAAATTGATATTTGTTATTTTATAATTGATAAATATACCGAAAAAAAAAAGAGTCTGAATATAAAATTTATACGATTTTCTTCCATTAAAGACTTATCACGGCTTCAAAAGCCACAGAATTATCATAAGACAGGTGTAGTCTGGTGCTGATAAGATTAAGATCCTTCAACAGAGTGCTTCAGACATCTCTCGGTTTATTGATCATACAAGGCTGAGTGAATAACTCATTTAAATCGGTTTCTCATTTTAAATATATCAAAAATGAGTTCGAAATTTTTTTTAAAAAAAATTCAGCGATATTTTTGTAATTCTTTAACGGCTTATTTACAGTCGGACCTCTATGTAACGAAGTCACTAAATTCCGGAAAAAAGTTCGCTGTATGCAAAATTCGTAATGTAGAGGTTCGTTTTTTAATATACTTTATGAACCACATAAAACAAATTTTAAATTCATAAACACTATATATTAAAAAAAAATTAATTAATCAAGCATTTTTAAAAATAAATATATATGTTTATTTTATATATCTTACCCATCAAAAAAAAAGAAAAGAAAAACTGCAAGGAAAACAAGAAATAAGAATGTCAAAGAATACACTGTATTTTCAGTATTAAGAAAATAATTTTATATTAAAATTAATGAATTTTAAGAACATTTTCTCTCTAATTTAAATCATACAAGAAAAAAATTAAACGCACATTATTTTATAACTAGAACACGGGACAAATCCACAGAGTGAGAAAGGGGATATCGAAGATGTTTCTAATCAACTGGGCAATGGGGGTTAAAGAGTGCATTTCTTGGATGAAACGTCCAGATTTTTATTACTTTTGGTGAGTTAGGATCTAATAAAATTAGTTTAATATTTATGACCACCATAAAATGGGTTAAAGAGAGAATAACTTGAAATGTTCATAAATACTTCAAAAAAGGGGAGAAAAAAATTGAATCACAAAAGGAAAAAGTTCGTTACATAGAAAATGCATTCCGCAAAAGAGAGTTTGTTTTACGAGTAAAATCTGGAAATGTTCAAAGTTCCAGGAAAAAGTTCGCCACATACAAAAATTCGCAATATAGATTTTCGTTATATAGAGATTTGACTGTATTTCTAACAAAGATATACTAAAATATTTTTGGAATTGAGATTTGATTTCAGAGAAATTAATTGGATAAATAAAACAATCAAATATTTTTTTTCTTTCGAGTGGGGTTGCGCATTGAAATTGTTACCATTACGGACCTACAACATTCTCCAGGAGTTGGTAGCACTTCGTGTGGTACCATATAGGTAGATACCAAATGCCATATCGTAAGTTTGACAAGCAGTTTCCTCCCCAGAAGGAGGCACCTGAGTTCTGACGATGCCAAACTAGGAAACTAAGAGTTTAATTTTAACGAGAGTGCTCAAGTCAAACAGGCACTCTAGGGATTTTTAACAAGCTGCATCATCATATGATATGAACGCTATTTTTCATTTCTTGAAAAACCACAGACGTGGGCATACAAGGCCAGAGCCTAACCAACTTCGCCATGCAGTCGGCATAAAACATTATTAAGGTATCCGACTACCCTAAAACCATGATCTTTTCAAAAATTGACAAAAATTTTTAATGATTCTATTTTATAAACCATCTTATTAGCTTAATAAAACTACGAAGCTTTTTATTTTCCATTCACTAGAACAAACACTACAAGTATTTTAATAAAAGAAGATGCCATAACTTTTTACACAAGATGTCAAACTTTAAAATGCGTTTTACTCGAAATGTGTTTTTTTTTTCGAAAAACTCAAACGGGGACAGTGCTTGCTCAAAAAGTTTTGAAAATAAATAAACAGTAGAAGTGTTTTGATCATCAGATGTATCAATCACTGTTTTATTTCAAAATTTACAGTCTATTATGTGAATATAATCATTGTTTTTTAAGCAGTTTCATATAGTCAGTAGTGCACACAAGAATTTTTCAAGGGGGCTCCGGGGTCAAAAGTTCACCATTCTTGTATCATGCTCCTTTTGATTTTGTCGATTTTCGGGAACAAAACACAGTAAAAAAACTAATTATTGAATAAATAATTAGCATTAATTAATAAAATTAATCATTAATAACAAATACTTAATTAAATTTTACTTAGTATATACTTAAAATTATAATCAACCGGAAAAAAATCAAGGACTTTGGGGGTCTGGGCCCCCAGGACCCCCGTGTGTGTGTGCGCCAATGCATATAGTCACTAAGATAGAATGATCTAGTTTTTGTAAAAATTAAAATATCTATTATCCTCAAGGTCATTTCAAACATGAATAATAAAGTAACGCATTAAAATTCAAAAATTGAGAATTTGTTCAAAAAATTTTGTACATAGCGGACCCCGTTTACGTAATTTTTTGTACATTTTCACCAATTTTTTCCCCCTTTTAATAATAATAAATTCTTTTCTGTTTTCAATTTTACGATTTTTTCCTTAAAATAAACTAAATAAATCTAAAAATCACAACAAAAAAAAATCCCCATATCTCCATTTTTTCAAAAAAAGTTGTCGCAAGTAGTCGGATACCTTAAGAACTACACTGCTCAAAACAATTAGGGGAGCACATGATTTTAAAAAAAGTAAGCAAAGATGTATACCAATAAGTAACATAAAATGAATCATCCGTAATGTAAAGACTACCAGGAAACGGAAAAAGAAAACTTTATATGCAAATCAAAGTTCATGACGTCAAAAACGAGAAAAAGGAGATGAGGGCAGAAATCGGGATGTTGCAAAAACGTCTGTTTTATTGCCGTAACTGTGAAATTCGATTGCGCAGTTTTTTTTGAGGCAAGGTTACTTGAGAATGTCTGAACAACGTGATTTACCGGAATCCATGGCATGGCGTGTTATAGGCAGACTGTAATCCGGGCAAACACAACGTAGTGTCGTGGA